CACAATTATTTTTAAATGCTTACCAATATTCATATTTTCCTTAAAATCAGAATCAGTTTTCTTGGGATATGAAAGAAAGGCTTTATTATGGTTATCGTTTCATCCACATTCGTTCTTTGTTTTTCAGGGCAATCTTGCCTCTCTGCCATTCTCAGTTGGTAAATTATTTAATAGTATCGTGACACCATTCCTCCATTCTGTTTGAATTCTCTTTAAAGCCTATAGCACATTGTGTCTTTAAGCTATCTGGCAGTTGATCGTGGTTATATAACCTGCTAATCGATTCCATTCAGATGCCGTGTGAAAATTGGCTTCATCTCTCACCGAGCTGCATGTTCCTGTGCGAGTAGTCACGTCGTCTTTTGGTCTCTTCCGACTGAATGAGGGCTCGCATCTTACACATGCCGGCGGGATCGAGTAGTTGTTATAGCAACAGGCTGCGGTACATGGCTGCCCACATGCTCTAACATCTCGTACTGCTGCTGCTGATACTCCAGCTCTACACGTCCCTACTACACGCCATGAAAATCGCTCTGAAAACACAGAGGTTGCCCTTGTTCGTTTCTGTGCTACAATCAGGACTCCTGAACTCAAAATTCAAATGTTTTAAATGGTCGACTCATCCTGAATGACTGATTCTGATTATATAGGGTTTATATAGGGTTTGCTATGACAGTGTTCAACTGACATTTCTGTTTAAATCTACGATGCATGACCGATATGTTGGCAAATTGCTTTTGTACAAGAGGAATAAAGCACTTTGGGAAGTGTTGTTGTTGAAGTGTTGAACTATGGCAGAACCTCTGGTTCAACTCAGGCTCCATCACACCGCCTCATCATTGATTATTTTCCTGTAACAGCATGTCCCCATTGTGTTTTATTCCTTACATGTTGAATAATTATTGCTGCACAATTAATCGAACATCGATCATGATTATGATTTTGACTGCCCACAATTACATGAACATGATCGACTGTGATATTGATGTTTAAAGTTCGTACTTCGCTAATAGAAAACTCAGCCAAAGATCAAATCAAGCGCTTCCTAAACTTACAGCCAATCACCATAGAGTGGCGCAGGGATGATGCCATTTTGTAGTGCCAAAACTCCAAAATGGAGTTAGCATTTTAGCGCTCGATCTGCCAGTTTCTGCCAGTTAACACTAACATGCCACTACATTAAACGGCATACTGCCATACATGTAAATACTTTGCAGATAAACTCAGGGCTCTACAGTGCAACCATTTGACTCGCATTTGCAACTGAAATGTACTTTGTACAACTATGAATAAATATTTATTCGCACTGGTGCGAGTGACCTGTTCGGAGTTGAAACTACAGGAAGTCCAAAAGGCATCTACACCGAGCAACAATTATTTTCACACTGCTTTTCATCTCCTCAGTCAACCGAACAAGTGTGTAAATACTGCAATTATGATAAAGAGTAACACTGAACATCATCTGCTTCTCTCAACTTCCCGATCTCGCAAACCGCCATCTTTCATTGATCCCACAAAATGACCTGCACCTACGACCTACTTGTGTAGAGCTCCTCCACCAACTCAGCGCATTTACTTCATTTAAACTCACGGTTACCAGATGTCACTAGAAAAATCAACTCCAGTTTCCATGTTTAGATTTAATCCCCCAAAAGCGCTTTGCATCTGACAGGTTAATGAACTCACCCAATCACCGCCTATGAGATTATTCTGGTAGATACACAATATACACAGAGCCATTCGAGAACCATGACAGTGGAAATAATAGTGTAACTTTAAATATATTTAAGAGGAGCAGACTTCAAAGACTGAACATTGATGTTTATTGTATTTGTTTACAAGGTGGAACAGGTTAACGGTTGTTTTTGCATGCAGTCTGTAAAATTAACTGAAAATTTTACATTTTAGTTTATCATAAGGTTAAATTAATGTTTCATGGCTCACACTATGTTCCTAAATTCTGTCATAATTGACAAGTTCAAGTTTTCTCATGCCTTTTTTGAAAAAATTCAAAAGTCTCTGAAAATTCTATTGGGATTTTGTTGAGGGAACTGGTGTGATGCTAACTTCTGGGTTTCTGTACAAAATGAAGTCATCCCTGCACCTCTGTATTGGGTGATTTGACTGCGTCTCTCCTCCTGTAAACACTGTTATTGCCTTTTCTGCATACGCCTGAATTGTTTTCATTTGGTCGCATATTGTTATATTTGATGCATATTTTCATTTGGTTGATGGAATTTTTATTTTTACTTATCCTATATTTTTGGTACTATTTTATTTTTCATTTGCTTGTACGAGATGCACTTTAAGGATCAGTCTAATTTGATGCAAAGATTTGTACATTAGCAGGAATGTAGCACAACATGGAGGTGAAAGCAGCAGTCTGTTTATTTAAACGTGAAAGTGCAATAAAAATATGTTGTCCCTAAAATCAATTAATAATCGTGATAAATAATCGGGATCTCAGTATTGATCAAAATAATCGGGATTATCATTTTGCCGATAATCGTGCAGCCCTATGAATAATATTTTAAAATTTTTTGAAACGGAAAAATATAAGGTGAAGTGCTGCGTTTGGCCTGTTAACGGTATGTTGAGACTCTGTGCAAAAATGACTGGGGAGTAATAAGAAGTGGGTCACTAATGCTGATGTCTCTGAGCAATGCTTGACATTTTATATGGGATACTCAAGCTGTAAATAGTTCCTCTCTAGGTCACGTGTGAATGCAGTGTACTGTGATGGATGTATGCGGTTAATATAATGGATTATTAAATGATAGTGGATCATTTTCATATTTCTGTTGATTTTATTTATTTGTTTTTTTATTGCAGGGAAGTCCTCTTTGACAATACAGTTTGTTGAAGGCCAGTTTGTGGACTCGTACGACCCGACTATAGAAAACAGTAAGTGCATTTCAGTTATTCCAGCAGACTGAGATGGAGGCAGAGGACGGAGGGAGGCCCTATCAAATAACTGCTCTCTGCTTTATTTTGTGTGTGTGTGTGTGTGTGTGTGCGCGCGTGCGCACATGCTGTTAGTAGAGTTAGACGAATAGACCTCATTTCTCTCCTTCAGCTGTATGTTGTGATTGTGGATTGTGTGTGAGTCTGTACATCGGCTTTGGAGAGGCACCAGGTAGGTGTCTAGTGCGGAGGCTGTCGCATGGATGCGATGGCAGCGGTGTGACATTCGGCTCTGTCAGAATCAGCACTTCTACTCCTCATTAGGGAGCAGAGAGGACGCTTACACAGCCGGCTATTTGAACGCAGTTCAGCAGCAGTACAGCAAGAGCCTGCCAAAGCACTAGTCAATGCTGACACCTCCACTTTTAAGAGGCACCTCGTATCTACATGTGCCACAGGCGTCGTCTTTTCACTGACATTTTCATCCAGCATAGAAGAACTGTAATATACCAGACAGTGAAACCGAGAGTCTCCAGCTTGTTGTGTAGAGATTTGATATGAGTAGTGCAGTTTCTGTAGGCTTCCTCCAAAAGGGGGGAAAAAAATTGAGTGGTAACATCAGGCCATATTTAGCCATTGATTTTATTTACTTTAAAAAAAACACCCAAAACATTTTTATAACCACTCGGTGCAATCCTTTGCAGTCTCCTGAGCTTCAAGTAAATCTTATAAATCTCCATCAGGGGCTTTTTTGTTATGACTTACTCACGTGCTGAAATAATGATTGGATCTGTAGTGGATTTGACGCATTTGTCACTTATCGGCATTACTTACGTATTTTATTTTATTTTTTATTGTTAATGTCATGCTAACTGACTCATTATGGATATTGTATGTGAATACAGGACACAAACTGTCTTCTGACTAATGCTTACTGCCTCACATGTGGTGGTATCGGTTACTAAGAGGATGTCGTATCGGATCAGTCTCGGGTGTTGGCCAATACTCAGAGCCTTGGTATCTTAAACAAAAATGGAAAAACACACACCGTTTGGGCTTAGAGACCATGTACTCTTCCCCTTTGTGGGAAAGCATCCCAGCTTTGTGATCTGTATCTTTCTGGGATTTTCGATGCATGTAGAATAATAGATTGTAGTGTGGAGCATGTCTCTGTAATATGATCGGTCTCTGTGTGTTAGTGAAGCGTGCAGGCTGCAGGTAGTGTAGCGAGGTTCAGCTCGGAGAGTCTCTGAAGCACAGAGGACACGGAGATCTCTGCTACAAACCGTGTCACACACGTATAGCTTAATGAAACCCGGGCTTTTGTCTCTGGAGTCTGAACATCAAATTTCTTCAGGTTGTGTAGTGTGTGTAGTGGTTCAAATCTAGTGTGTTTTGCAGTCGCATGAACTACTCATCCATTTCCACAAAATCGACCTCTGTTGAAACTACATATGCCTTGCGAGTTGCTTTTTAAGGAAACGGGACAAAGTTGGGGGTGGAGCTTATTTCTGGGCCAGAAATTTAAACAAGCCTGAAATGAAATGAAAGAAACTAGCTTTAAATGCATGATTTAGTCTAGAAAATTGCTACACTTTTAAAACATTGTAAACCGCACCTTTTAAAAGCTTTTTTTTCCATTCCCTGTCCTGTAAAAGAAAACTCACACATAAGATACCAAGAAAGGTCAAGATTATTACCACCCCCTGCCCCAAATAAACTATTGATTGTTTTCCATGTTCGAACATAAATGACTCAAATATCCAGATAACTATCCAGATTATCTGCACTAGGTGTGCTGGTGGAGTGGCTGAAATGACTCATACAAAAGGCACGTATGTAATTTTACAAGGCTAGATGTAAAAGACTCTTTATCCAACAACATCTCACGAGACGCCCATGAAGATCCTTCTGCCAAATGGACAATCTTTGGCATGTCTTTAAAAGAGACTGTTTCTAATGGACTATGTTTAAACACCTCTACATTTATGGCATTTGGCAGACGCTCTTATCCAGAGTGACATACATTTAACTCATTTATACACACTGAGCAGTTAAGCGTTAAGGGCCGTGCTCAAGGGCCCAGCAGTGGCAGCTTGGCAGCACTGGGATTTGAACTCACAACCTTCTAATTAACAGTCTAATGACTTAACCACTAATCTATCATCCACTTTTGCCCACCTCTCGCAACAAGCACTCATGTAGATGGGGGGAAATTATTTACCGATAACATCAACGTGTAAGTTAAATCATAGAGGGACTAAAGATTCCCAGCCTTAATGTTTGACTGATCCTTTTTGGCAAACATTGGATGGAGACGTGCCTAGTGTGGAGCAGTTCATTGTCCTTTAGCTAGATGTGATTATCTTTTCCATGCCCCCAAGCCGTGAAACACTCTCCCTGTTCATTCCACGCTTGTTTGGAAGACAGGACGACTTTATTATCACTGAGAAATGACCACCTCCTCTCCTTCCTTAGTGATTTTACTTGCTTGTTTGACTTTGGAAGAAGAGGAGGAGAAGAAGGAGGCGGGTGGTAGGAGAGGTGCTTTGCTCTCAATGCGTCTGAATGCTTGAGTAATAGTGCTAGGCGTGCCGTCTCCATGCCGAGCTATTTTCTTTCTCGGCTTGGCAGCTCCGCTTGTCCTCGGGGATCTTCCGCGTCCTCAAATTGCTTCCTGTGACTGTGTCTTAGATTTAATTTTTTTTGCCCCACGAGAGGTCAGCCACACGGCTTCAGCCTGCAGCGAGGTGCTGAACTCCTGCTGATGCATTAGCTGTGGAGCATGGCTTACAAATGTCTCAATGTCAGTATGCATCAATACCAATCTTATATTTAGCTCAGTCACACACCCATTCTGTAAAATCTTAAATCTTCGAATTTAAGACTTTGTCTTAAAAAATTACCATCACTGTCTGTCTCTGCCTCCGATTCTAGGTTTCTGTGACAGCTGAAGTGATAAAGCGTGACAGTGTTGTGAGTTTGGGCGTCAGCTCATAAAGGAAGAGAATGTTTTGAAAAGCCGCTGGGCTGATACTGTACTCTGCTTTTTTTTCCTTTTCCCCCTCTATTTGTCCTTGTATCGATTCTCCCTGGAGTAGAAGCTGAGGTCTGCAGCATATACAAACCTCCCATTCACTCACACGCACTTTTTTTTTTTTCTGCTCGCTCTCACATCTTTTTTTTTTCTCTCTCCTGCAGCATTTACTAAAATGATCACAGTCAATGGCCAAGAGTACCATCTGCAGCTGGTCGACACAGCAGGGCAGGTACAACTCACACACACTCACACCTACATGCGCACAAATAGGCGTGGTTGAGCTGGAATAGAAGTAGCACAAGTGAGTGAGAATGCACTAGGTCGCACTGCCGCTAGTAAGCTCTGCAATCTGTTCTTGAGAGCAAGTGCGCGCTGTACATTCATAGTGAATGCTTGAGCTGTATTACCCATGATGCACAGCTTAATCTAAAACCAGGATTTTATTCGGACACCTTTTTAAAATTAGAAGTGAATTTGCAGTTCTGTGAGATCAGAAGAGCAGGAGATGCAGGTCCCTTATATGCTTTCCGAATGCATCACAGAATGATTAGAGGTGTCCCGATATGTTTGCTTTTCTTACTGACAACACACACACACATATGCATCTTATAGTGTGGAACGGCCATTGATGCAGGCAGTAGCCAATGAAAGAGCTGGGATGAAAATGGCATAATGTGTACAAGCTCCGTGCATATGTAGTGCACTGCGGAGAGGGAGGATGAGCTTCTGACTCCTGTCCTCCATCTTGTACAATGATGTCTGTGTTTTCACAACCACATCTTCATCCAGGCTTTTGCTTCTTACACGTCTTGTATTAGAGCCACTTTTCCACAGCACAGTACGGCTCGACTCAACTCGGCTCACTTTACTTTCCTGAGCTTGCTTTTCCACTGTGGTTTAGTGTCGCCTCAGCGTGGGTGCCATCTTCGACTCGCCTTCACACAGGAATAACGTTGTATTATCGAAGCCCTGTACAGATACACGGTCAGGCCGTATTCCAAATGCCTTTCCTGTTCAATGAACAGGGACCCTATTAAGGGTGTAAAATACCGGCGCTCTAGAACCTACGTAGTGCTCGATATGACAGAGTTAGATTCAGACGCGACAAGAGTCACTTCGATAAACACCTGTTTGGAAATCGGTAATGAGCGAGATGTAAAAATCTAAGACAAAAACCTATGTAGTAATTTTATCTGTAATGCGAAAAATGATACATAATTTTCAATTAATAGAGTATCACCATACACAAAGTATGTATTAAATGACACATGCGTGGCTCACATTGAGTGTCGGCTCGGCTAACTTGGAACCTCGACCGAGGTGGTACTAAAAAAAGTACCAGGTACCAGGTACTATCCACAGTGGAAACCCCTCAGAAAGCGAGCAGAACCGAGTCGAGCCGTACCGTGCAGTGGAAAAGTGCGGAGATACAGTATAAGACCCGTATGACTTAATGACATTATAAAACAACTTAAATTGTTTTATAATGTTCAGGTATAAAGTAATATTATAATAATTGTATAAATCCTGTGATAAACCCAGGTTTATATAATGGCTATTTTTGTCTTTTTTATAAAAAAAATTTTTCTCCTCCACAGGATGAGTACTCTATTTTCCCTCAGACCTATTCCATAGACATCAACGGTTACATTTTGGTGTATTCTGTTACATCAAATAAAAGGTAGGTTGGCATATTGTTGCTTTTGTATTTTAGCTGTTGTATGAAATTAAAAGTGTACAGGTCAGTGAAACTGGAGATGTGAAATCCTGACTCTGTGAGTTGTTCATTTGACTAATTAGTGTTTTCTTTTGCTACTTTTTTTTTTTCGTCTCCAATTTAATTTTAACCAGTGTATTACTGGACGGCCAAATCACTTGTTTTATTCTCCGCTTGTTGTTGCCTGGAGGTTCAGTCGGAAGAAGGAGGAAGAAAGTTCAGTAGGCGGCTGATATAAGTCATCAGTGCCTTTTACTTCTTCTTCACGCTTCAAAAAGCCAGGGAAAAAAAAATAATTTCTTTCACAAAAGAAAACTTTTATTTGATATTTATTTAAACTCAACCCTCTCCAGCTGCTCCATATATTTCTATTCATGTATTCTTCTTCATATATTACTATTCATTTTACTGGTTAATATCTTGCATGGATCCTAAATAGCCCTTTGAAAATCAGGAACATGAAAAGATGTGGATAAACTCTTGCTTTCTTTGAGAAACTACATTAATAGCTGTCTTTTCACCTAGTTAATAATGCTTCCAGGCAGTTAAAACATGGTTTCACACACATTAGATCTTTGACTTGCCCAGTGGGTTAGCTAATGCATTTATGATCTGTCCATAACTGGGCTATTTAAGAACCTATGCTGTGGGAAGAAGGGCATGGAGATTTTTAAGATTAAGTAGCAGCATTGAAGTTTGTTGCTGCACAGATGTGTTACTTCTCGCTCTCTCTTTGTGCTCTTATTTTATTCACCCTCTCCAGTATTTGCCCTTCACCATCAGCACTAATAGAGGATCGAACTTTCTCAATTCACTGATTTAATCAAACCACTTGGTGAAGCTCTAGTTGCGGCATGAACAGCTTTCTCAGTCAGACTCTTTCAGACTCTCTAGCACTGACTTAATCAGATCTAGCTCCCAAACTCACTAATGACAAAACACACTAATAAAGGCTCAGATTGGCACCAGTAACAGCCAGCAGCGACAGCACCATTTTCAGTCAGTAGCAGATGAAGATAATAATAATAAACTTTATTTTCATGTAGCGCATTTAAAGCACCCTCTCAAGGCACTTTACACAATAAGAAAATATCAAGGGGAAAAAACAAACAGATAAAAACACAAAACTGATTTTGTCACTTCCTGCTGGACATCGAATTAATTCTCTTAACTGTATCTGTATCTTCACAAAAAGGTCTGGGTGACATACTAGACATCTGATAAAAATGTAATTCTTTCAATTATTTGTGGTAATATCTAGAATGGATAATACATTTCACTCTTTAGGGTTCTGGTAAAACTTTTGAAACGTTAAAAAAACGTTTAAAGTGCAGGTTTGATTTAATTGTCAAGTTTTTAGAAGGAATTATAGATTGCCTGGACCAGGGTTAGTAATATCTTTATTATTATTATTATTATTATTATTATTATTATTATTATTATTATTATTATTATTATTATTATTATTATTATAATTATAAAGGAAGGCAATGGAAAGACTCTTTAAACTGGCTCTCGAGTGCTTCTTCCTCTGATGCATGTTTGGAGAAGTCTCCTAGTCTCTGGCACGACTGCATAAAACTGTCATATAACCCAGTCGCATCGTCCCCTGGGTTTTATAGTGAAGTTAAAATTTTCTCTAGAGAAAACATCCACAGAACCCTGTCACATGAGTATGTGAGCCCTATTAAATAACCAAAGCAGTGGAGATCTCAGTGGAATTATTTTTGATGAGAGTTCAGTGATTGCTATTGCAGATTTTTTGCCATTTACTACACATTAATCGCTTGAATGACCCTCACTGAATCATATAAGCTTACTGCTTTCTGCACGATGTTGTAATGAGATTTGCAATTTGATGTTTATGTAGACAGACCAACGCTAAATAGGATACAGTGCTGTGAAAAAGTCTTCGATCTTCAAATGAAATACAACATAAAACAAAGGCAACCTGAATAAACACACAATACAGTTTTTATTTCTTTCATTCTTTCTTTTTATTGAAGCAAAAAAAAGGTTATCCAGCACCTATCACCCATGTGAAAATCTAATTGCCCCCTTAAACTTAAAAAGAACATCATACCTATGGTCAAGCATGGTGGTGGCAGTGTGATCCCACACCGTAGGTATGTATCACAAGTTCTATTTAAGTGTTGATTTGATTGAACAGTGTTTACAGTAATTAGGCCTGGTTGTGTCTAGTCCAGCTGAACCCCATTATAAATGCAGTTTCATAAATTTGTTGAATTAGTAACTATGGGGGCAAATACATTTTTACACAGGCCCAGTTGGTATTGGATAACTTTTTTGCTTCAATAAATAATATTATCAAATAAAAACTGTATTTTTTGTTTATTGTGTATTATGTTAGATTTGGTTTTAGTTTCTGATATTCTGAGATATACACAAAACA